TGATCCAGTATCCTTCTAGCAGAGCATCTCTTTTCTTTCTTTTGAAAGGCAACCAACCCTCTCTGCTACCTTGCTTACTGTCTTCCAGCAGGATCTCTACAGCTGCCTTAAACAGCTGAAACATTATTCACCAAGGAAAAGAAAGCCAAAAGCTTTATATGTGGGCAAGAATTTAGGTTTATAACAAATTTTCATTCAGAAAACAACTAGACTCATGTACACAAAAGAGTTAACTCACAGGCATCTTACTCATAAGAAGAATTGCTTTTTGTGAGGAGGTAGATTTTCCCCTCAAATGAGCAAATATAATGTTCATGCAAGGCAGTGAGCCCTGCCACAGCTGATGCTCCATTTAGCATTTAGCCCAGAGAGTACAAAAGAGAAGTGATACTGGCAAGACTAGTTTTGGAAGGCAGTTCTGCTTTTCACCTTAGCTGTGGTTTTCTTACAGCGTTGCTGTATTCACGCTGCTGTGCCCCTGCATACCCAGCCAGCCAAGGTTGGCTCGCTGGCTCGCTTTGCACTACTTTGATTCTTTTATTGAACTGTCTCACCATGTCACCCACCTAGCTATTTGCATCGCTGATGAATTAGTTTCTAGAGGTGTAGGTGATGGTTCTGCTGCATTTCACTGAATTTGTTCTGATCAGTCGTATTCTTAACATTACAGATAAAAAATAGCTGATGTCATCAGCAACTGCAACTTCAACCAATTGCCAAGTACAATCGACTACCTGTTTTATCTTTGCTGCTGTGAACTGTAAATGCACATTTCTCACACACAACCATCTCCTGGAAGCCACTAGTGGGAAGAAGTCTTTGTAAGCTTTTCCATGCAGATTTACCGCAAGGAAATGAAATATTACTACTACTTGCATTCACCACTGGAGAAGCACAGAAAGGAAATGGCTTGAACAAGACAGTGTAGCAAAAACATACGATAAAATTAGGATTCAGATGATGCCCCCAGTTGGGTGTTGGTCTGAAAGATATTCCCTGCCTTCTTCAATCCCATCTGATGTCCAGAAAAGATGCAGGATGTAAGCGTGCTGTAGGTCAGAAAACAGCTCTGAGGCTCATAGATGGACTACTTTGTCTCGAGTTGCCTGTTACACTCTACTAGAGAGAGTACCACCAGAAACCTCAGATCCAAATAACTCATAGCACATAAAGAAAATCAAATTAACTTCCCTATAGCTCAGGCTTATCTCCAGTTGCTGTCTGGCAGATTTAATTTGAAATGGACATTGCACTTACCCAATAATATGTTCACACAGGAGCCTGCAATAGTCACTGTGAGAACTAGTAATTAATAGCAGAATCTTCCCAGCGCTCTTCAGTTGTTTCAGCCACTTTTTTACAGACTCGGGACATCTCTGTAAATATTTGTCTGGATGATTTTTCACTTCTGGGAAATACATCCCACAGTCTTCTAAAAAATTAAAACATAATTACGTATTATCCAATCCTACTCACAAACCACTTAATCCACACAACAAATATCCTTTTATGTGCAAACAATACAATTTTAAAAAGGCGAAGCAAAATTTAAAATTTTTCCTGGGTTGTAACTCAATATAAACCAAAAAACCAATCCAACCAAGAGGTTACACTGTAGCAAAAATAAGTTTGTATGACTTTTTTCTTTTATTGTGGAATTTTCACAGTTATTTTGTTTGATGTTCTTTTGCTTATACGAGTAAATATTACATAAATTACAGATTATAGTCTTACATAGCAAATAATTACTTCCTGCTGCCTTTGCTCAATGTTTGGATACTCAATTTGTGATTTTAAAATGAATTTAATGTTTAAAAAATGGTAAGGACTTGAAATTCCCAAGAACATCAGTTCAGTTACTTCTGACACTTTAGGTTAGCATTGTTTGATTAATAACATCCATTTTAATATTTTTGTATTTTTCACAACCACTCCTTTATCCATCTATGAAAGATTGATAAAACAAACTGGCAAAGACTCACAGGTATGTGGAATGCTAGGAACCAAGGCAAAAAAATCCCCAAACTCAATTCCAATTCCAGCTCCAATAATGCTCTTTTTTGCCGACTATAACAGCAATACGATTTTGCAAATACACTTGGAATGTCAGATTTTAAAATGTGTGCAATAACGCTAAGTTGGCAGTAAAGGTTACCTATTCATTAAAGTCACCGATAAATATTTGCCTTGTTATAACCCATAGCTGCTTTACCAAGACATCAAATTAACATTAAACTTACATTTTTTTATCATTCCTATGATCTAAGACTACATATTTCCTTTGTGCTCAAACCTTCTATAACCAAAAATGTCAAGCTAGTTAAAGGTCTAAAAAGAAATATAATAATTGTAGAGACAGAAATGATACAAAGTATTTGGCGCTCAGTCTGTGTGTGTTATAGTATAATGAACATCATCATAGAAGATTATTTTTCTTCCAGCATTTGTTCTATATGCAACTATCTGTGGTCAACTTTGCTGAATGATTTAATAAATCCCAGACATTACTTAGCCTTCTGGTATGTGAGTAATGCTATTCTCTAGTTTGAAAAAATAAGATTTAAACCACTTGAACTTTAGCTATTTAATGAGAGAGAACATGTATGTTTGAAACGGTAGTATCAAAGAAAGACTGAAAGGTGCTAAACATCACACTATTTCATAAATTAAACATTCAAACATCTACAGATGGCAGGGAAAAAAGTCTCCCAAAAGACGTTTCGAATTGGCTGTTATAACTGCAACAAGACAAGAGGCTAAAAAGTCTTATTCTGTGCTGTGAATTGACAGATTTCTTCCCAAAAGCTACAGAGTGGACTACTATATCTGAGGAAAGCCTCTCAAACAAAATCTACCAACTCATAACCAGGTCACTATGCCAGTTCTTCATAGTATTTAGGCCAGGCTGGTTAACAGCCTGCACCAGGTGAATATGACAGCATTATGGGATGCCATGATGTTGGCCTTGAGAGATAGACAACACCAATGATTTTTTTTTTTTAATTAAACGAAGCAGATTTACAAAAGAAGGTTTCCTGTAGTGTTTCCCCTTCCTCTTTTCTGAGGTGTGAATATAGTTTGCGATGAGCAGCTGCAGCTGCATTATTTTTTTCAGTATTATCATTAGTAATTATATTTCACATGCTATGCTACGACAATTTTTCTTCTTTGTTGTTTTGGAAAACGCACAACATTACATGACAATGAAGTGAGACACAAACAAAGCAGCCTTGGCATTAGTTTTCACAGGTTCAAACAATTAAAATAGAGACGGCAAAGTTCATTTATATATACAGCTACCTATCACTCTTTTTACTTAAGGTAAAACCATTCTTTCATGTGCAACTGATTTAAAGACTTTCAGTAAATGTAATCAATGCTATCTTCTTTGTCCATACTCTGTGCAGTATCTGCTATGCGATATCTGTGAGTGATATTTGGCCTTTGAGTAATATCTGCAGTGGAAAAGGTCAACAACTCTGGATTCAACAAATGAGCTGAAAGAGACTCTTATTCCAGTTTTCTATCCAGACCCTTGAGCCCAACTGTTAATTGCAGACAAGCAATGAATCAGTTCTTGACACTGGGATCTGAAGTCTGCCTCTGGGCTGTTTGCCATATCAGGCAGAGATACCTTAGAAGAACCCTCATTAAAGCATACTCTACTGTAATTAGGCCAACATGGCCTAGGAAAGTAGAGTTTAACTTAATTCCTAACATACTATTGTGTCTGGTGAAGACAGTTTGGTCGAATATATACTCATACCTGTAAAGCAGTTTAATCACCAAAGCTTGCAAGATTTTCCTGAAAGCCAAATAAAAAAAAAAGCTGAAAACCTTGCTCGTTATCCTAGGCCAAGAGCCAGTTCTGAGGAGGACAGCAGAGGCACAGGCACCTTATTGGCCAAAAAGAGTTCTGGAAGTTTTAACATATTATGGAGAAATAGCATCATGTCAAACCTTCACAATCAAACAGAATGATTTGACAGTGGGAAATGAAGCATTTTTTCCAAGGGTATTTATTTCATTTATTATTACCACTATGCCATATGCTGCACTTTGTTTTTCTAAAGCAGGAAAACCATAAAAATAGTAAGAAAACCCTGTTGAGCACAAAGTCAGTGAGAAATCAGAAAAGTACTAATTTTACCAGAGCCAACAGAGGAAAGGAGAAAGTAAGTTAATGGTAATGAGTGATTTCACACAACTTTCATACAGCTTCTTCTTGAAAAATAAAAAAGTAATTCTTCAGACAAACACCATTATTGAGAAATAAGAAATGTCTCTAGCCTGCAATATCTTCCTGATAACATTTGTGGACCATCCAAGTTTCAAAATACTCTTAAAAATGGAACTGTAAGCACACTTTAGAGAAGCTTTGTAGGTCCACAAATTCACCGTACAAAAATGGGGAACTTGAGGTCACCACCAGATCTACAACTGACAGCCATCTGTACACTGCCTAAAATAAAATCTGTACATCTTTACCTCTCTGTTTTACAAATATCACTTAACATATGGCTATACAGACATTGACCTGTATTAACGCGTACCCACACATCAGTGAAAGCAAAACAACAATAAGAAAACAAATGTCCCAACTTTCACTTTGAATGTTTCTATTGTTTTCAGTTATCTGCATGCATGCCAAAGCCTACACTAGTAACCCCTGGCTCTCTGGCAGTGTGAACACTTTCCCAAAATATAAGAAAGCATTTCATAAAAAATTGGAAACAAGAAGACTGCGACAATCAACATAACAAGCAACATATTTACTCCCAGTTATTGTATGAGAAAACTTAATCCAATGATGTGGAGCAGGAAAGCAAACGTCTAAGCATTTTATGCGCAACTTTGTACATGTCCATGATGCCATGGAGCAAATGCAGTTTTTCACTTTCCATTCTTGTTAGTAAATAACTTGCAGTTTAACTGACATCTCTGAAATATAGCCTGGGATAGAAAATTAGCAACTAGCACCTGTAGGGATTTATAATAATTTTCCAAATACACTTTCAAAAATACTAATTGCCATTAAGTATCCTTAAAGTAGCCTTTTGGAAAAAAATACTTCATTTTTAAGCAGGAGGGAGAATATAAGTAACTAAAATGAGTTGTCTAGAACTGCTGCATGTTAAAGTCTTGCCAGAGCCTCTTATCAGATCTATGTCCTGCTGTATTTTCAAAGCAATATAATTTCCTCTATGTCTATTATCAGAGATTCCCTTAGCGTCCAGTTTGGGGTTAGTTTTCTCTTGTCTCATCCAACACTGTAATTTGATCAAGATGTTCTTTGCATTGTCTTGCCTTACAGTTTAATTGCTTGTAATACAGCTGTGATAGCAAGTGTGATGGGAATGATGTATAGCTGGAAATGCAGAACCTGCACACCAAACTAAGAAAGAGCCTGTATACGCTTGCTGTGACCGGCAGAAGTCCTCCAGCACAGACAATAATCCAGTCTTTAATCCGACCGCCCTCCTCTACTACAGTCCCAAAATTACTTTACTGAAGTATGCAGTTTGATGTTCTAATGTAACACCTCTATTTGGGGAAAAAAAAAATAAATTGTGGATTTCTCTAGTGCTCTTTATTACCACTTCTCCTTGGCAGGGTCAGTTTACACCCCATGGGCTTTGGACTCAAAGTCTGGAAATCCGCACTGCCAGGACACTGCAGTTTTCATCCCTTAACTGTTATTTGGATTATAAAAAAGGCAAATGTTCAAGAGGTATGTTTCTGGCAAGGTTTCAGTCCAGAACCAAAACACAGGAACACAGTGTATTTTTCAGTATTGTCATTGCTTCTAAGGGGCACCTATTTGATTGAATTAAAAAGAATTTATCCGCTATTTATACAATTGCGCTAAGCAGAGAGGTATGAGGCTAAAAAAATCCCTACAATTCAGCCAAAAAAAATAAACTTTCAGCTGCCAATTTGTAGCTTGTATTTAGTGGCTTTAACAACTAACCATCTCTTACAATGAAAGTAGTATTTGGGAATGCAACTTTTCTCTGTTTTAAATTCAAAGGCAATTTGATAGCTTAGCTATCAATACTCATAGCCAGGTTCTCTGCAGCTCTGATGCAAGTAAGAACTTATTCCCTAATTTTTGTCTGAATGCAGTCTTGTAGGTAACCGTTATTAATTTGATAAACAGAATGGAGCTGCAATAAAGTGTTCCTATCAACAATGACGCAGACAACTGTATTCATTGTACATTGCTTTCCACTGTAGTCTTACAGCACTTCAGGTTTTTAGAATGAACAAAGACACTTCTTTGACCGTTGTTGTTGTCTTCTTCTCTTGTCTAAATAAACATATCCAAGAACTAACACGAGCGTTTAACAGAAACATAAGAAAAATACATTAATTACAGAAGATTTTGCAAAAGTTTTTACATTTCATCTAATGAAAGCAAGTAGAGGAGAA